ATCCATAACTGTATTTATTCTGGAAACCACAATCCTGATAGGTAGGGAAGACTGAAACCTAATGTTCCAGTTACTAGGAATAAAAAAAAAGCAAGAGGCACAAGCATTCCCAAAATTTCTCATATCAGCAAATTTTAAGTAACATATATAATATGATAGAAAATAAATTTGAAGGATGTGGCTGAGAAACACTTGAGCTACTAGGATAAAGCAGATGAAAGAGCCAGGAAAAAGGAAGAACAAGCTGTGAATGGCATTTGTCAGACCCTTAGCTGTGCTATATAGTCTAACTCTTGGTTTGCAACTATTTCACATTATCAAATGTCTTCATGCCTCTGTGCATTTGTGAAGATCCTTAAATATAATGGTCTATTTTAAAATAAAGAAATATTTGTTTTCAAACAACTTCTACCCTACGTGTCTAACATTTTTTTGTTTAAGAATCTTGCACTTGTGCCTCTGCATTTCAAATAAATGTAGGGTGTTTTTCTGCTATTTTTAATCTGCTGGACATTTGGGACATTCCTGGTATTTATAGTTTACTAATTCATTTCCTCATGTAAGTTAACCAAAGTTGTGGCATGCAGCATATATTTTGAATCCTGATACCACCCACCTAGAAATTACTCAACAGGTGCCATCCACATTAGTAACTTCATCTTTGGATGAGGTTAAATTTAGTGTTGACTAAGTTCCTACCAACTAAGTTCTGTTTTTCAGGACTAGTTTAGTCTCAAACTCATTTAAAAAACAAACCAATTATTTTGAAACTTAGAGTAAATATGAATCATACCATCTCAATAATTATTTTAATAAATTACTAAAGGGACTTCATATTTTTCTTAAATATGTGCTCTTTGAACCATATTATTTGAAAAAATATCAATGGAATTATACACACTCATATACATATATTTAAATTATCTTTATCTATTGTAAGGTACCACATATATATGTTGAATTTTTCTTTAGTATAAGGTAACCATTGAGAATCACATGGGAAGAAGCACGGCAATATTACCTAAAATTCTGAAACTATTATCGTAATTTAAATTCCTTTAATTTCTGTTTAATCTACTATCAAATACCCACATCTTCACCTAATCATATTATCTTATGATATAACACGAAAGCAAAGATATCTCTATTTTATTCCAATATTAAGTCTTCCACACAAACTTCTAAATCTCTTCCTCTTCCTTTAGGATTTGGTATCATCACTTATTTCCCCAAATCCCTGTTTTCTTTGCTGTCCCTCTATTGCTTCCTCCTTCTCTGTGTACTTCCCCACTTGCAATAATTCCCTTCAATCCTGACTTCTTCTCTAGTCATGTATTTTTTATTCTTATCTTCCTGAGTATATTCTTAGAAAATAATTCATGACTTAATGGGCATCTGCACTTCTCAGTTATTCCTTAACACACTATCACTCTATATATGTTCATGTCCATCAATGCCAGGTCATTAATGCCTATCTAGTTACCAGAACTAACCTCCTCAGTCTGGTACACTATTAGGCTACATAGAATTTGAAAGCATCTGGTACATTTTGCTCATCTTACTTTGCCCTAACTTACTGGGTTAGTAATAGCTTCAACTACTGTATCTACCCTAAGAATTAACACACCACATCTGTGATCTACTTCCTTAAAGATGGTCTTACTTTCCCAGCACTCTTTTCCTTTTCTGACTCCTACACCTCTTTCTATCAAATAAATACCGATATTTCTCAATGTGAAAACCTCAGCTTTGTCCTGTGACTTTATATAGACCTTTGAAAGATCTTTTTCTTGTCCATGTCTTAAACTTTTACCTACGTGCTAAGTATATTATAACCTCTACCCTTCTCTGACCTTCAGGAACACATTTTCAATAGCCTAAAGTAACCTCCTACCTGATGTTTCTATAGATACATCAAGCCCTTCATGTCAAAAATTCATCATCTTCCCCCCTCTACCTTTTTAAGCCATTGTCTGCCTCTTTAATAATCATCTTGTTCTGTGGTAATCACTTATCCACTGAGGCCAAAATGTGGGGCTGTTTTAAGCTCTCTATACTCTCAATCTTCCACATACAATTGGAGACCAATATTTACTTACTCTATAATTCCCAGAAAGCATTTAGGTTGATCTTTCACATCATGCCACAGCTCAGTTTTAAATGTCTTCCAAAGACTCCTTGACTTAGAATACTATACAAATTCCTAACTTTGGCCCTACATTATCAGGCTTCTTCCTTATCCTTTCAACACCTCTCTTTGTGCTCAAATCACAATAGTCATCTGTTTCTAGAATGCACTAAAACTCACTCCCTTCTTAGTTCTTCTTCCCCGTGCAACTCTGTTTATTGCTGTTTTGTTTTGTTTTGTTTTGTATGTTTTTCTTTTTTAAGGACATTTCGTCCTTTGGTCCTCATGTACAGTTCATTACTTTAAGCATTCTTATGCCTGGTATCATAAGTGCTAAGTAAATATTGGTCACATGTGAATTAACTGCCTCTTATGGAAAGTCAAAAATATATTATTGATTCATACCACAAAAACATATATTCTTAAGAACTTAAGATTATTCAATAAAGATTTTCAAGCTTAAAATTTAAGTTAAAATCAATAGTGACTAGAAATCATAGCAGACCTAGTTTTACCCTACCTTTGTTATTCAATACAAGCAGCAATGAAGGGCCTCAAAAGATCAGATACACAAAAAGAGCTGTTCAAAAGTAGTTCTATGAGCAAGTATAGACTCACTGTAACTAATGCAGTGTCTCCTGGTGTTACATAATAAAGAAACAGGCAACATCCTGTTTGGAGTAGATATATGAAATGTATAACCCTAGTCATGGAATCATAATTTTCTTCCTCTACTTCCTTGTTTCAGTTAAAGTCCAGAGTTTATATTCACTCATAACATAGTGCCTATGCAAATTCTTAAGAACAAAGGCAAAATAATTCAACTGAAAAAGTTACATTTATTTCATACATCTTCTTCTGAACCAACATATTTGAGGGCATATCAATTTCAGATTCAAAATTCAACCACATCAGAAAAAAAAGCAAGGATCCAAGTCATTCTTAGTCAAAATGCAATGTGATTCCAACTAATACTCTATGGCTGGGCAAAGTACTTTTTACAGCATTTGCAGTTCTCAGTCTTTTGGTCTATTGTTTTAAAATCACAAGTGGAAATATCGGCATAACATGTATACTAGCTGTTACATGATATTTTGGGGTTAACAAGAATAAGAAGTAATAAAAAATTAGCAGAGTCTGATGCTTATAAGAATATTTTCACAGATTCTTATAATCTCTAGGTACAGATATTGCAGATAAATATGTAAGATAAGGTCAGCATTTCTATTATTCATAGTTAAGAGCTTTGGAGATTTTTTTCTGTCATCAAGCATAAGCTTGCCGGTTTATTGAATTATCTGTAATCAGAATCCAATTGGAATGATAGCAGAGTAGGTGACTGTTTCTGGACTTAAAATGTTTTACAGTATCCAATATCTCTTTATTGTTAAAATAATGAAAGTAAAACCAACAATGTTAGGCTATGGCTAAAAATGTAATATATGGTTTTGGGGGACTACAGAGCTTTTTAAGTTAAAGCCCTAAAAATCTTTTAACAGATGTTAATCCATGAGTGTGTTCTTCATAAAGTTTGCAGAAATATTCTGCATTGCATTTCAGTTTTGTTAATAAAAAATGTTCACCCGCATATGACATTATCACATTCTAATTAGAACTTATTTTACAGATAAAAAAGTTGTGGCTCAGAGAAGTTACATGTTTTTCCCAACATCACACAGCTATTACTGTAACAGGGTCTGACCATACTCTGATTCAGCCTGCTCTCAGTAAAACTTCAGAAAACAACTAATTAATTCCCACAGAATCATGCTTGTGCCCAGAGAAATTAGATCAGGAAGTTTCCTTAAAATTGAAGTATTTTATAGAAAATCTTTCTTTTATAGTAATTTTTTTAACAATAGCTACACAGAGTTCATGACATTATAATAAGTCCTGGGAGTGCTTGTTTTAAAAAAGAGACAGCTAGTTAATCATTCTTTAAAAATAATTCATTTTATTATTTTTGGATTTTAGTTTTATGACATGAAGTAAGGCAGGTCAGCAGATTTTTTAAGTTTATAGTGTTTTTTTTTTTTTTTCATTCTTCCAAGTTTCTGACAACTAAGGACTCATTAAGTTCATTTAGAATCCATGTTCTGTGCTAAAAAGAATTTTAGGGGAAGTTTCATCTTGTGGATTTTGGCTATCACTCCTGATTATATCTGCCTGATGTGCCTTTAGTAAATGCATTTTGTATTTCAGGTTATCCAATAAAATTAAGTTGTGGCTTTTTAATTAAGAAAGTGATTTTTATCTCAGCAATTTATCAATTTGTAATTTTATTAGAGAACATTAAGCTTTACTAGGTGGTAAAGATAAGAGATGGCTGGGGAAGAGGCAGACCTTCAAACCGAGGGCTTTCTGGAAGAGGCTATGAGTCATATCTCAAAATCAGTCACTGCTCAGCAAACTTACAGCAGCATGACTTGAGAACTATTTACAAAAATATTAGAGTCCACTTGTTTACACGGGACTTTTGTTATGAACAATGCATAGTTGCACATGGCAAGTTCTGTTCTTCAAACCAGTTGTTCAGATAAAAAGTAATCCACTTAAAAGTGAAAATGGGATTTAATATCATTAAGGCCAGTGTTAAATTTTTCAGAACATCAAAACGCACAAAAAACTCAAGGATCTAACAAAACATCTGGAAATAAGTTGTGTGTATATAGGAGTCATATTTATTCAACCGTATTGATGCTATCACATGTATAAATTGCATCCCTGGAAATACGTGTGAGACAATGTGATCAAATGGTGTCTTAAACAAGCAGGAAGACGTGGAGAAACAATTTCGAATCCATTTACAATTGCACTTAACTCTGGAAGTGAAGATAAGCATTATATATGAAGAAAAAAATACAATTCTTACCATCTGAGACTGACTTCTAGGACATCCATTGATATCTTCAACTTTTTCATTTGCTAAAGTCAAGTAATAAAATAAAAGAGAAAAAAAAGAATGATATGCTTAAGCAATGACGTGAAACACACACACACACAGACAACACATACACACACACACACATACACACGCACACACACACACACAACCCTAAAGAAAAAAAAAAGCAAAAATGCTGCTACTACACGTACTCAGTTTTCCAAGCTGTGTACAAGAGGACACACTTGTTAGTAGTCACCAATTCTATATGCACAAATCAGGCACACCAAAAAAAAAAAAAAAAGTGAGAAGGAAGTTGCTGCTAATTCTTTAGCCTGTGCCAAATGACTGCTGACATGAAGCCTTTCACAATTGTCCCTGCAGGATCAGGATACAATTTCAAGGAATCTCAGAGTATATGAGTTGTTCCAGCTAATGAAATACACACATGGGAGACATATGGTTTAATGAAGCGTTCGCTTCTGACAATTTCGTATATGTCAAGAAACAGTTCTAGTTATTTAAAAGTATAGCCAAACCGCCTTTTTCAAACAGCCTCACAGAAACATTTTAATTAAATCAGGGAACAGCTACTTTAATCTCAGAAACACATGGACCAGTTCAGGAGGCATTCAACTTAAACTGTATTTTACCAAAGAGATAGGAGCAGAGACTTTCATGCTTTCTTTCAGAAGACAGATCTTACCAATGATCTGGATGATTTCTGCTAGGAGTACTCCATCTGCAATATCTTGTTGCAAATCCTTGATCAGTCGCTTGTGGCCCGATTTTGCTAGGTAGTGGTTGGCCCAGTCAGTGTAAATCTGTTGAACAAAGGGAGGGAAAAAGTGAGATGGGGTGAGGGAAAGAGAGACAACAAAACTGCTTAAGACAAATGTTGGATTCAAAGGGAAGCTATTCTGGATCACATTCCAGTTTAAGAAGTCATAGCTCAAAAGGAAATAGTTGTAAAATATTTTTTAAACAGCTCTTCCCCCCACTTATCTCTCATTTCAAAGGGAGATGATTCACTCTTTCAAAATCAAGGACTAGTCACTTGTGACAGAGCAAAACTCCCTTCCCGGATGACTCCTGAGGAAACTACTGTTGCAAATCAGTTTAGCTTTTCTCCATCTTTCCCCTGTTTCTATCATTTTGAAAATAATCCCGCCTGTCCACGGAAAAGGGAGCCACCTGGACTGATTTATATAGGAACTTTACTATAAAAATGTGTGTTTCTCTTAAGATTGTATTGAATTTGTCATGTGAGACACGATATGTGACAACATTTTGGCATCATTTTATGAAATAATTGCAAATGCCTTCCTGTCTAAGATATTTTATTTGGATTGTCATCTCCCATTTAAACCTCTTGAAATGTGTTTATATGAGAGAACAGAGGCAGCAAATGGAATTATTACATAAAAATTATAATATAAAATTGAGAAGTAGATTGTAATTCTCAAAGTTGACAATTTGACATAGAGCAGAGGTGTCTCATTAACACAGATCAGATCATGATATACAGAAAAGCTGAAACTATACAAAAATTTTGCAAAAATAAATGATGAATTTTTCAATGTCAGAAAACCTTCTAGAGTAAAGTAATATAATTGTAAGGGAAAACAAAAAGTGTGGAAACTTCAATTTCATGGGTGGTTCATATGAATATATTAGTAAGTTTATTATAAGGCAGTCTATAATGTGATGTAATAGAAAAATGAAAAAAGTGAATGAGAATAGAAGAGGGAAAATAAACAGGAAATATGCATATAAAAAGTATTGTTAGAAGCACTTGAATTAGGACTGGGAGGAAAATAGAACTTATAATATGAGTAGTAAAGGGAGGGACCTTCCTTTCAGAGAGTATAACATATAGTAAAGCAGAAAGGTAAAGCAATCTAGGACTCAGTTATAAAATCTGTAATTGAGGCAGGTTGCTTACAATTAGGATAAATTAAGCTAGCAAGGTTACTTGCATCTTATATGAGGGGGTACCCCCAAAAAATCCAGGCTTATTTTTTTGGAGGGTGGACCCCATGTAGTACAGGCTCCCCCCACTAGGTAAGTGTTCTAGGAACCCATTGGCATCAATGTACCAGCTAGCATTGTTGTGAGAGGCTGCCTTTAGCTTCAGTTAATTTTTTTTTTTTTTTTGAGATTTTTTTTTTTTTTTTTTCAATGCGTTTGCCCATTTAGTGATGGGAGATTTGGGAGCACACCTGCCCACACCATGCTTAGTGCTCAGCAGTTTTTGACCAAAAAACACATGACCCATATGCCATACCCTTTCTATTCACCAGATCACACTTCAGGCAACTTTTTTTGTTGTTTCCCTGGATGAAAAGTCCTCAAGGGGAAATGTTTTGCTGGCGTTGAAGAGGAGAAATAAAAAACGGCAGAAGCACTGAAAGTCATCAAAATTGACAAGTTCAAAAATTGTGCTGAGCAGTAGAAAAGGCATCTTGATAGGTATATTGCATGAAATGGAGAGTACTTTGAAGGAAACCAAAGTTTAGACATTTAAGAATAAATACACAAATTTTGATAAATAAATTCTGGGTTTTCTCAGGTTCTCACTTGTAGTAATTAGTACTGAATACTAGGCAAATTGTAATACCTTTAAAGAAAATTTTTTCTAACAAAACAAATACACACTTTTTGCTAAACAAATAAATTAGAAGTGTAAAAACTAACAAGTGAAAATCTCCCCACAACTTGCAATTCTGTCTACTTTTGATTTTGTTATAATGTTCTAGAATTAATATGCCTACATTACACTTCGTAACAGTATACCACATTACACACAGTGAGATTTTTAATCAGATCTTGCTCAAATTGTACATATTATTCTTCCATTTCAAATTTGTATATAATAATATTTTGAAAGTATTTCTAAGAGCCATTTCATTCATATATATCTCATTATTTTTGATATTTTATTACACATATTATCAATCCCTCTGTTGAATATTTAATTTGTTTAAATATGTTTCCATTACATCTAAAGTTGAAAGAGACTCCTTATATGTGTCTTTGCACACGCATATACTAGTATGTTTATAGGAACAAAACCTAGAAATGGCACTGCTAAATTTTGTTTCAATGGATGTCAGGTATAAATATCACAAAATTACAACATAAAAGAAAAAAGAGTGGTTCTTTTTTTTTTATAAAGTAATATCTAGTGTATATCTAGGAGTGATTAAATTTTCTAAAAGCCAGAAATACTTGGAGGTAAAAGAAAAAATATACATGACAGCTAAATTACATCTCATTTTCCATACACATGATCTCTATGTTGAAGATATTAAAGTGTGAGAAAAATTACTTGCATAACTGCTGCATTAGATACAAACACATGAGTTTTAAATAGACACTTTTTTATTTAATAATAATTTTTCTCAATTAAGATTTTATTCAGCCGGGCTTGGTGGCTCAGCCCGTAATCCCACACCTTTGGGAGCCTGAGGTAAGCAGATTGCCTGAGCCCACGGGTTCGAGACCTGCCTGGGCAGCGAGACCTCATTTCTACAATAAAAATAAAAAAATCAGCCAGGCGTGGTAGCACATGCCTGTAATTCCGGCTACTTGGAAGGCTGAGGCGTAAGGATCGCCGGAGCCCAGCAGGTCGAGGCTGCGGTGGCCGGGAGCGGCCATTGCACTCCAGTCTGGGTGACAGAATGAGACTCCAACTCAAAAAAAAAAAAAAAAGATTTTATTATATTTGTATGATCATAAAGTTTTCATAAGGATTTACACTATTTGATTTTTTTTATTTTTTTATTTTTAGTTTTTTGAGTCAGAGTCTCACTGCCACTGCAGCTTCGACCTGGTAAGTTCAGGCTATCCTTCTGCCTCTGCCTTCCAAGTAGCTGGAAATGCAGGCAAATGTCACCACACCCAGCTAATTTTTTGATTTATTGTAGAGACAAGGTCTTGCCAAGTTGCCCACGCTGGGTCTCTGACCCTTGGGCTCAGGCAATCCTCTCACTTCCACCTCCCAAAGTGCTAGGATTACAGGCGTGAGCCACTGCACCCAGCTATACTATTAGATTTTAAAACTGAGCATGTTTTCCTTCTTTACACATTAATCAAAGGATAGAATTAATTTTTTTTGGCCTACTAGAGGAACTTGAGGTTGAGTCAGACTTGAGTTGTGCTGATATCCCTACAGGAAGGGAGCAGGGCCATCAGTTGACCTTAAGGGATCCACAAAGATGAAGAGAATGAATTCTGGAGTCAGACAGATCTGGCACTGAGGTCCAACAGACCATTTGCTACTAGTGGGACCTTGGCCAAGTTACCTAACCTTCTAAATCTCACATTCTTCATTTATAAAACTAGGATAGGATTGTGTCAGGAAAACAAAATAGCACTTATAAAATGCCCGCCATAAAATTAGTCATGACAAAAAACTTTCTGTTATTATTATCATCATATGACATCTAGTTTCAGTGTGCTATTATAGCTCTCCAACAAATACTTGTTAACGTTACTGCTCCACAGAGGTTAAAAAAATTGAGGGGACTGCATCAGAAGACTAAAGAAGTTGTAATACTTGCCTTTGACACTACTATTATTTCTGACTCTACCTGCTTTCTAAATCCCAGGTGCCATGAATCTGTCTGCTAAGGGTCATCAAGACCTACCATGTCTCTATTGTGATATCACTTCCATCAAACTCCATGTTGTATCGATTTTGTTTCATGAAGAGATTATATTATGGGAAAATGCTCATTTAAATAACAAACAAAATGATATGTATTATAAAATGGAAACAGGAATACTCTCATTCTCCAAATGCATGTCAACAGTTCCTTAATCTTTATCTAAATTCCTCTTGGGACTTAGGGAAGAAAGCAGATGGCAAACCAGCTATTTGGCTATAAGAGACCCTGTTGGGAAAGTCTCTGATTTAGCTCACAAGTCATTTTTTTATTTCTTCCAGAATAATCCCAAGCTTAAGGGATTATCCAGCATCTCTAATATCCGCAACTTTGCTCAGAACATAGGTCTAACTTAAGTTGCAATCAGTGAAAGCAATATCTATATAACTTAAAGCAAATTTATAATTTAAAGCAATAGCTATATAATTTAAAGCAAATTTCCATGTCAAAAATAAGCCCTACAAACTTTATTTATTCTTTTTAATAAACATGTTTGTCTTTGTAAGCAAAAGATACTTGAGACTTTTCAAGGAAATCACAAGAAAAGGGAAGCTAGTACCTTCCAAAAGTATGTTATAATCGAAATTATAAAATATGAAATAACTATAAAGTGACATGTAATTATATGTTTTAAACATTACACATAAATTTGTATTTTTGACTTTCAAAATTTTATAAATGTGAGCTAAAGAAAAAGGTGGAAAAATAAGGTGTGACTTTAATGAGACAGTCTTCAAGCAAAGGACATATGGTATGTAGATATATTTAAAATCCATCAATAAATTTACTGTAATTTCTGAAGGGAGGGAATACAAACAACCTTGTCAACTGTCATTAGAATCTGTTCTTCAACTAAATATAACAGAATGGTGAAATTATGTCCTGGTATTGAATTTGAACTCCAAAATTGCCCTTGGCTATCACAGTAAAATAATCAGTGTTTAAGCTCTTACCTGCTGCTGAATGAGTTACAAAATGTGAGGTAATGTATTTTGTAGAATTGTGCTATGAAATAATTATAAGTATTTTAGTGAAGAAGTTGGCATAATTTGAAACAATGTCATATTAATCATAATTAAATGTTTGATAATTTTTGTAAGAGGGTCATTAAGGATTTTTATCATCAACATTCTGGTCAAAGCTTCAAATATAAT